CTTCACCTGAAGCAGGAATGACTATCACACCTTGCCCAACACACCATCACATAGCTTGTAGCTTAATGTGAGCTCCGCATGCCTTGTTAAATTATATAATGAATGGTTTATTTCTGTTCTCTAGTTTGATTGCACCAACACACTCAATGATCAGATCCTGGAAAATGTAATCGTGCAGATGGAACCTACCGAGGGATATGAAGTAATCTGTTGTGTGCCAGCTAAAACTCTGTCCTATAACCATCCTGGCACATGCTACACTTTAGTGTCTGTACCTGAAGATGACCCAGCAGCATGTATGTATCTACTCTAAACATGTTTTGGGTGAAAAGGTGGAACTTTCCTCAGGTCTTCAGACTTCTGGTTTATCTATAAAAATGAGTGTAACTGAATATTATTAAATTAGAAGAGATACATTGTGTTTCAGAGATAAATGATGCTTTTGGTTAGGTGTTCTTTGAAAAAAACACTTAACAGTGGGTGATTTGCCACTGGAGGAAGAAAGACCTACATGTGCATCAGCTGTGATTGCTTTATTTATAGTTTTTGCCTTTACGCTGGGCACATATACTTGTATGCTAAAGATTACATATAAGAACAAAATATAACCAGCAAATAAAAGAAAACATTTAATTTGATTCATTTATTTTTGTAGTTTGAGTTGTCCATTTTAAATTCCTTAGCAAAGCCTTGATATTCCCAGTCTAAAGATAAGCTGTTATTTACAGCTCCATGCTCTTCTGTATTTGCTTTGTCCCATTAGAAAAAAAAAAGTTGTTGTCAAATGATTTAACCAGCAAGTGAGAAAATACATAACCTGATAAAAAAAGTAGAAGCAGATCCATAGGCATAACACCAAGTAACATCTTGAATGTTTGTTTATTTTCTGCAGAATTATTTTTTGTCATTCTAACCAAATGGCAGTTTGTCTGTTTTCTCAAATGTGTGTGCCATTGTATATGTTAGTCCCATATACACTGTTACATTCCTCATTTGTGTGATGTCTTTTAAATGCATCATCAATCAATCATTTTAAAGAATTAACATTAGATTTTCTTTTTCTCAGTTTCCTGTACTTTCAGTTGTTTATTGAAATTCACAGTCAAGGATTGTGATCCGAACACTGGGGAAGCCGAAGAGGAAGGCTATGAGGATGAATATGTGGTAAGGCAGATAGCGGAAAATGTGTGAAAACCAAAGCGATTTTCAAATCTCAGACCAATACTTGAACTAAAAACATTGCTGGTTTGAAGATGTTTTTAAATTCAGCTATTCTGGCCTAAAATTTGAAATTAACCATCAATTCCTTACAATTCACTTTTACCGAGTAATCTTGTTGAGCTCTAACACATACCTATGTTTTGCCTTCACTTTTTTGTGTTTAAGTTTGGACACCGTCCGTCCTTTATTATACCAATGACTGTGCAAGGAGTTGCTTTGTGTCCAATCTGTTATTTTGCTATTAAAAACAATGTTATTTTACTCATAGCTTGAGGACATCGAGGTGACTGTAGCAGACCACATACAGAAAGTTCTCAAACCTAACTTTAGCGCTGCCTGGGATGAAGTGGGGGATGATTTTGAGAAAGAAGAAACCTTTAACCTAGCAACCATAAAAACATTAGAAGGTGAGCATTTCTCTGCAAGTATTTTTATTTATTTTTGTGGGTACATAGTCTCTGAAGACAATACCCAATTAACATATAAAGGTGATTTTAGCTGTCACATTGAGTTTAACTCTGGTATGCTAACTTGAACAAGCTCTGTGTGATTTTAATATAAAAATGAGTCATGTAAATGCAGTTAAATTCCTTGTGTCTGAAACCCAAGTTACTTTTACAAATTAAAATAATATGTAATGTATTAGAATTCACCTGCAATGCCAAAATTAAGTGGTGACTTTTTTTTTTTTTTTTTTTTGAGCAGTAACTTGTCCAGGAGAAATGGCTAGCAAATGTATAGGTACCAATTTTGTTTTGCCAAAAAACTTCATACATAGACAAAAATAATAGCTTTGGGGGCGGAGCCAAGCTGCAGAGCAGACAGGTCGCATAGCACTATTTAAACTTAAAATACCCTAATTGGACCTCTAAAAACCCGTCCAAAACGGCTATAAACCTAGGCCACAGCAGAGGAATCGACATGGGAAGCAAAAATAAGAAACAAAAGCCTGAACAGCCCAGACTTGGCCTCGATATCGGAGCCATGTGGAAGCAGGCGTACGGAGCGACTGGGCCCAAAATGGCCGACCACCCACCTGTCGGATGATTTCTCCCAGGGGGAGGACGCATATACCCCACCCCCGGCCAACCGGCACCAACTACCAAGCCTCTGAACCCCGATGATGCACCTGTCACAACAGCGGTGCTCAAGGCGCTGCTGGCAGGCTTACAGACCATGCTTCAAGCGGAAAAGGCGGGCCTCCGCACAGACCTCCAGGGCATAACCGGGAGACTGGGCAACCTGGAAGACACCACAGCGGCCCACATTACCTCCATGCAACAGGAGATAAAGGGGTTACAGAGCAAAACGGAGGCATATGAGCGGCGATTCGCCACACTAGAGGACACACGTTGAGCGACTAACTTAAAGGTACGGGGTATACCTGAAACTATGCCGGCGGAGGAACTACCGCACTTTGTGCGACGACTCCTGGCAGCATTACTACCAAAAAGGCAAGCCAAAGCCATAAGCGTAGATGGTGTCCATAGAATCCCTAAACCAGCCAAAGCCCCAACAGCGGCTACCAAAGATACCATAATCCGCTTTCAGCAGAGCGAGGACAGAGCGGCAATTATGGCAGCAGAAAGAAATCATGCCCAATACTCTTTCGAATCCATGTCACTCACTTTTTTCACTGACTTATCTGGCAGTACCTAGGCATTGAGGAGATCACTTAAGCCAATCACTACTCTCCTCCAGCAGCGAGGCATAACATACAGATGGCGCCCCAACCGCTCCATGCTGGTAACAAAGGGCGAGACCACCCACGAGGTTCACAACCTGCAAGGAGCACAGGACTTACTACCCAAGCTGGGCCTGCCTCAAGATGCCATGCACCCCACGGTACAACCCGAGACCACCAAACCATGATACAGGTGGGACCCTGAAAAGGCGAAAACCTTTGTCCTGTGACGTCCTGGACACGGCTCCCCTGCAGACAACCCACCGTGAAAGCTCCCAGAGACATAAAAATCACGACAAGTTCGTGGCCGGGACTGGCTGACCAAACCACAATAGTGGTGACTCACCGCGGTTATCTGGTTATTTTGTTAGCATGTTTAGCCTACTCTACCAGTGTTGCCTAATGCTATATTACGTAGCCTATCCCTATTGCCACACATACTGATGATGCCAGCCACCCACACGTAACACACTTACGCTTCTGCCACCAACCCGATCAATAACCTCTCCCACCCCTCCCTCCCCCCTCCCGTCTGCCCTAAGGGGAAACCAGACTATATCTTCTCCCAAACAGAGGACAGACGGGTGTATTTTACACCCAGCAACCAGATACTTCACAAGCCACACACTCACCTACACGGCCACAACGGGGAAAATACACCCCCTTACGACGCAATACATTACCTCACTCAGCCTTACAAGTTCTGATTAGATTAAGACAAGCAGTGTGGGGTACACTGTATGGCACATACACAGACTCTACAAACTCTACCACTCAGCATGCCACACATCAAGTATCAATTGGTCACTCAACGGCCACTTTCATACTCAAATATCAAGCACATGTGTCACCTTACTGATGTTATTACTCATCTGCTTAACTATGTGTACATATTTTCTTTATTCGATCTACATGTCACTAGCCTGGTACCTCTACTAAATATAAACGGTGCAAATCTACCTAACCAAGCCTGTCTAAAACATAAAATTGTGCCTGTTACTCCTAAGCCCTGCATGTTAGGCAAGGAAATGACTGAGGACTGCTTTCGAGGCACCTCAGAATTGCATGTACCACTCTTATGCACTGCAAAAATAAAGAATAAAAAAAAATAGCTTCAGTGCCGGATCACTCTGTCATCAGCAGAGAGTTTGATTATAAACTACATTTAACCTATACATTTTCAAGTGATTTGCTCTTGTGCAATGCATGATAAATGCATAATTAGACTGCATAACTTAATTGAATTGAACATTGTCATTCACACATTCGTGAGAAGAACTTTCTAGCTCCCTGTCTACCTATGTCTGTTGCACCGTCATAGTGGTGTAGAAGGTGATATTCTACATCTAGAGGGGAGTGGGACTGTATTGATTTCAGTTTTAACCAGAATACACTATATTAACAAAGTTCAGAGAACTGTGGAGTAGATCTCCCATTCTGAAAATTTGTAGACATGTTTCCCACCGATTTTTCTGTGTATCAGGTAGGATTCTGCTTGGGGTCTTATGTGTGATATCTGAAGCAGAGGCAAGATATGCCTCGGAAATCCAGGGGAAAATAGGTCTGCTAACTTGTCTGAGATTTGTCTTCACGTAACAAACTATTGATGTCTGTCTTGGTGACAGTAGCAGAATAAAGCAGGAAATGTTTTTGAAATGAAGAGAAAGTCAGTAAAGACTGGTTTATTAGTAGAGTTTGAATGACCTTGGGATTTAAATTTTGTGTAAAAGATAGGGTGACACAATGAAATGTGATGAAGGTAAAATAAACACAAGGTAGGTATAATATATTAATTGGTGCAAAAATAGGGTTCGTTCACAAACTAGAATTTGTGGAGAAACTGACAAGAGAGTTACACATTATTTTCTTCCAGATTTAACAAAGCCTGTGTTTCCAGCTAGGTTACTTAAAAAAAATAAATAATAATTTTTGATTGAATATTTGCAATTCCCTTGTCACTTTTCTATGACTGTATAAACCAGTGTGTTATTGCATTTTCCTTGTGCAAGATGATAGAATCACTTGGCTAATGTTTCTAAATACTGTTTTGTAAACAGAAGCTGTTGGTAATGTAATTAAATTCCTCGGAATGCAGCCCTGTGAGCGATCAGATAAAGTGCCAGAAAACAAGAATGCCCACACGCTGTATCTGGCGGGTAAGTCAATATTCATGTTACAGTTTAATAATCTTTTATCTGGCATCCTTGCTGTGTAATTAACAGAAATCTGTGACCATTTTAAAAATTAATTTATTTACCTATTTTGGGGTGGATGGCTTGGCATGGCTAAGATCTGTGTGTTTTCCGTAGAGGGATATTTGCAGTACAGAATCTTCTTCTTAGTCATTGACATGGACACAGCACAGTTCACCACAGCTACGTTGTATAAATAGATAAATATTGCAGACTGGGCCTCTTGTATTGTGCGTGTCCACTTTGAAAAGCTCACTCTAGAATCTAAACCTATGCTGATTTGCAGTAAATACGTGAACTTCAAATTGGAGTGTTTTTATTTTCCATATGTTTGTAATTGAACCAGTGGCTGTCAGCTTGTCGGAATCAAAACAAAATTACTTGCCATGTATTTCATTGTTATTAGTGAATTTGTATTGTCTAGAGCCCAATGAAAGATATGCATGTTTGTAGAATAAATTAATGAAATAGTTGTTTGGTGTCCATCTGTAAGTAACTGTGGTCCATGCTGTCAACTTACTAAGAGTATTTTATAGGATCCCAGCTCCATCAAGCAGTCTGATACAAAAGGAGAGAGTCCAGTGCCCAAAATTTCCACTTTTAGGTTTTTCTATTTGTGTATTAAACTTTTGTTTGACATCCTTCAGGCTTTTTAAAGCACAGAGCAATAGAACCAAAGTTTGTCTCCGTTTGCTTCATAGTGTGTATCTTATTTTTTACAGGTGTATTTAGAGGTGGACATGACATCCTTGTTCGCGCCAAATTAGTCCTCACTGACACAGTAACAATGCAAGTTACAGCACGCAGCAAAGAAGAACTTCCTGTGGATGTCATTTTGGCTTCTGTAGGTTAAAAATAGGTTTTCTTCATTTACACTACAAAGGGATTTATACTTTAAATGGATTTTACCTTTTTGAAGGCAACGATTGCCCCAACCATATACAAATATCCTGGCACAAAGCATTTGCAAACCCTGCTGGTATTCAACTGCCCAAATCAGTCCTACGATTCTTTTGTTTAGTTTTATTGTAGACCAAGTTATGGTATTGCTGATTAAAATCGTTCAATGGTTAAAATGAAGAAACACAAAAATATATCCTTTAGCTATGGATCGCTAAGCATCATGCGATCCATAGTTAAAGGAAAGGGTAGTTTTCTCTTTTGTAATGCGACTGTTTAAATGATCTGATTCTTTCTCCAATTGATTGTAGAATATTGAAATTTCTGGGTTTCCGCATAAATTTGAGCAGAGAGAATTATGGGGTAGATGTAGCATCACACACAAATGCAGTTTAATTGATCATAAAGAATATGTAGACCCATGATGGTTGAATGTTGGCTTGGCTCTTTTCATGTGTAGGATGTTCATGATGCTCAGACAGCTGCCTTGATAGTCATAGGAATCCTTGTTGATGACTACTTCAGTTCCAAAACATAGTTCTCTTCGAGTCAGCATATTTACTGTTTTTGTCTGACTCTGCTAGTAAGAGGCCAACACCTCTCTATTGTATATGGATCCAGACAAATTTTAATAAATAACCCTGTAAGTGCGCAAGGGACAAGCTAACCATTGCTGAATCATAAGGCACTCATGGAACTAAACATTGTTGCAATATAATGTAGATGTTCAGTGTCCAAAACTTTTAGAAGGTAATATGTCATTGTTTTTATATTGTACCTTCTTAATCAAACCATTTAATCCCTTTTGGTCCAATGATACAATTCTGTCTAGTCTCAAAGCCTTCCTTTTGATGATCTTGGTTTGCTGCCCTTCTCTATTCATGACACTGTTTCAGATTTTCCCTGTTTGGTACAAACAAGAACAGTGCATGAGAACGGTAGTTTCCTTATTCCTTTGTTAGGGATATGTTTGGAAATTTGTAGTCCGATATCATGCTAATATATTTGTTCTGCATTAAAATAACCTGTGTTCCTAATATAATATGCCTTTTGCTTTTTTTGTATGCAAAATATAAACATATGGTGACACACAATAATAAAAAAATGAAACAATCGTTTTTTGTTTCTGTGTCCGTAATGAATCCAACAGATGCTATGATAGTATGTAGTGGTCAGAAGAATAACCCTTGATCTAGACCAGGGATAGGCATCCTTTGGCACTCCAGATGTTGTGGACTACATCCCCCATAATGCTGGCAAAGCATCATGGGAGGTGTAGTCCAAAACATCTGGCGTGCCAAAGGTTGCCTATGCCTAATTTATGAAGGGGTCTGGGCGCAGTGGCACTGTGTTGTTGGCAAAGATCCATACAACATAGTGTGTAGTATCTTGTGTGTCTCATAAGATCCGATATGCTAACTGTGAGGTTCCAGACGAATAATCATTAATGCCGATGTCTGTTCTCAGAAGCATTTACCTACAACTATGATGGATCTCAAAACCATCTGCCCACAAACAAGATGGAATTTCCTGTCATAGCAGTTGTTTTAGTTAAAAGGGTAAATCCCAATTGTTTCTACCCTTTCAGTCAGAAATTTTACTTTGCTAACTTCACCTTATAGGAAGCGATGCCCAAGGTGTTTGGGGTGCTCCACAACTGCAAAATACTTAAATGGATAGTACAGTAGACTTGCCAGTGGAAAAATTTGTGATGGGGGCAGTGGGCACTATTGCTACTGAACTAGAAATGCAAGTCATTGGTATCCACTATGCTTGTTCCATTATGCTGTCTGCCCTTTAACGGCAGGAATTGCATGGTTTATGCAGACAACATTGTGTATATAGCAAACCTTATCTGGCACATGGTAGCCTCCAATTCTCCCTGGTGCCCAGTCATTAAATATGGTTTTGTGGGGCTAAACACCACCCTGCCCTGTGTGTCAAGTAATGGTCAAGCACTGTGGACTCTTAGTGAGGTTTCTGTCTAAAGGGAATCCCAATAAATCTCTCCCCTATGGCTACCTCCTGTCCAAATTTCACGATTGGGTCACTTGGGAGGTAGCAACAGCAAAAGGATAGTATAGCAATTATTGAGGGTCTGGATTTGGTCTCTAAGAAGATGCTTATAACTTGAGAACACTGAGACAGGCAGGGCACATTTAAGAGCAGTCATACATTATGGCTCACAAATTACAATTAAAGGGACACTATAGTCACCAGAACAACTACAGCTTATTGTATTTGTTCTGGTGAGTATAATCATTCCTTTCAGGCTTTTTGCGGTAAACACTGTCTTTTCAGAGAAAATGCAGTGTTTACATTACAGCCTAGGGATACCTGCACTGGCAACTCCTATGATGGCTACTAGAGGTGCTGTCTGGGGAAGTGCTGCACAATGTGCAGCACTGACATTCAGTATATCCATCCTCAGCTGAAGAAGTGTTTTCAAAGATTTTTGAATGAGTGGAGACTGGGTGAAATTCTAACGGGGAAGGGAAGGGAGTTCCACAGAAAAGGGGCAGACCTGGAGAAGTCTTGGAGGTGTGCATCAGATGTGAGAGTACGGACAGAGGATAGGTCTTCAGGAGAGCGCAGGGGCCTCGACAGGACATACTTGTGTATTAGGGAGGATAGGTAGGTTGGAGCAGCATTATGTAGAGACTCGTACGCAAGCACCAAAATCTTAGATTGGAAGCCAATGTAGGGACTGACAGAGGGAAGAGGCGTGGGCGGACTGGAAAGTGAGCCTTGCCGCCGCATTCATTATAGAATGAAGTGGTGCAATCTGGGAACACGTAAGACCACTGAGAATGGGATTTCAGTAGTCAAGGCGAGAAAGAACAACGGCATGGACCAGCACCTTAGCCGCGTCTGGTGTTAAATAGGGGCGGATGCGTGCTATGTTTTTGAAAAGGAAGGATTTGGCGATCGACTGGACATAATGGCTGAAGGAGAGGTCGGAGTCAAAGAAAACACCTAGGCAGCGAGCCTGCAAGGTAGAGGTGATGGCGCCGTTGACTTGAAGGGAGACAGACACGGGAGTAGCAACACTTGAGGGAAGAAAGACCAGTAGTTCTATTTTGGACAGGTTGAGTTTAAGGAAGTGAGCAGCCATCCAGTGGAAATTGCAGAGAGGCAATCAGAGACACGAGTCAAGGTGGGTAGAGAGAGATCAGAAGAGGACAGGTAGATTTGTGTGTCATCTGCATATATATGATAATGGAAGCCAAAGGAGCTGATGAGTTTACCAGGGGAGGCAGTATAGATGGAGAACAGTAGGGGACCAAGGACAGAACCTTTAGAGGTGTTGGGAAGAAGAGGCAGATGCACTGTCAAAGGGTTCCACGGGAAAAATTAATTGGGAATCCCTGGGGTAAGGAATACGTTTGTATAGACTCTATAGTCTTCATTTAACTGGTTATTAAACATTTTTTAACACATAATAAAAGGAAAGAGCACCATTTAAACCATAAGTATATGGGATGTAAAAAAGAAATCCAGGCCTTCAACACCGTTAAGGTGGCATAACACGCCCTAACGGCTCCCTGTAACTCCCTCAAGCCCAAATTCTTATCCTCCGTGGCAATCAGGGACCTGCCTGACAACCCAGGAAATCCCCCTGCAGCCTTACCATCCCACCTGAATCATCTGATCGTGATGACACTGCAATCACATGGCTCAAATTGGCTTAATTAACAGGTTTTTCAGATGTACATAAGCCGACATGTTGCGATACATGTGTTGTAGTACACTTGATACGATATCTGATTTTTGTATTCCTTCCCCGATCTTGAATGAAAGAAAAATTTGCCTGGGGTAATTGAATTACAGGCAATATGGCCTAAACATCTGAAGCATCCGACGTTGGTATATGTTTATTGTAGTTTTATGCGTGTATATTGGTCATTGTGAACCAAGAAATATGTAAGATTAGCTCTCCTACCAGTAGCTGATCAATTGAGGGTTCTTGGATACCTCCTGTGACAAAGCTCTTGTACTCCGACTGAGAACCCCTGCCAAGTCCACTTCCTTGCTGCTATTCAGGTAGTGCACATAACAGTTGCTACCAACAGATGGCACTGTACAGGCTCCACAGCCATATCCATCTAGTTGGCAGAAAGCATCAGCAGGACAGGAGAGCACACAAAACATCTCACAAACAATTACATTGCACACGACCTACACCTATAATGGGCACAGAGTGATAAAACATAAGAATAGTCCAGGAACCTAATTCTGAATTAGTGATCTCTGATTCCATTATTTATAGTAAAATCTAAAATTGATAACTTCCTATGTGATTTGTGTAATTATTCCACTCCAGCGACAATTTTAGGTACATTCTTTAAAAAATGTTTGTTTGTTTTTAAATAAATATATATATGCGTGTGTGTGTTATTGTAAATACATCAAATAAAATTAACTAACGTAAATAAAAAATGTTTTTCCCTTATTGTAAAAAGATCTTAACCATAAGAGAGAAACATATATTGTAAAAAAAAAGTATTTTCATTGTATAGAAACCTTTTCTTAATACAATGACGTTTTTAACATTTTAAAATATTTTAAATTATACATCCCAGACATTCCTTTAAAATGTACATATAAAAAAGGAAGAAAACTCTTATCTAAAGGTAACTGCTTCGTTATGTTAAAAACCAGGACAACACAACCAGTTTGATATGGATAAAAAAACTACCTTGGTATACCATATGTAAAATACACCATGCTATATGTCTGACTTGAAACTAGAGATTAAATTATTCCAATATTGCCTCCGTATGTGATCTTTGGCTAGACCTGTTTCCATATATTTTTATCTTTTCCACTTCCACATAAGGATCATAAAAAAAATGAATAAATAAAAACATACCTTGATATGCTGAATGTAGAAAACTACATGGTATATGTATAGCCTAAAATTATAAATTTGTACAAGTTAATACATTATAACAGTATTAACTCTGTATGTAATCTATATCTAAATATATATATTTTATTCTTACTATCCAATTCACGACTACCATTAAAGGCACACTCCAGGCACTCAGACCACTTCTGCCCATTGGAGTGGTCTGGGTGCCAACTCCCACTACACTTAACCCTGCAACTGTAAATATTGCTGTAACGGATCACCTGGCACCCAGACTGGGTACCTCTGTTGAAGGATGCTCGTAGCGCTCCCTGAAGACTCCAAGCACTGCAGCAGACACCACAACCACTGAACCAGAGAAGCATATGAATGCTGTAAGCAGCTGAACAGGAAAAACATACAATCAGTTTACACTCCTGGCAATCAGCATACAATCCAATTCCCCCAATAACGAGACGACACTTCTTTTTGAGATTAAGCAGAACTGACTGTACTGGCACATACAGCCTCTTTTATTCACAATCCACAAACATAGTACTGCCCACAGGGTTTTGAAATACAACCAATCAATCCATACAATACACACAGACACTCCCACACAAAATCCTCCCCTCTGCCTGTGATATGATTACCGAACACAATGGTTAATATAATTATCACAGGCAGAGAAATACAGTATTATAAAACATATCTTAGGGACCCCAAAACATGCAATAACCCCATCCTCGGAACCGGGGGATCTGGGTGAACCACATATCCAAAATTCACCCAGATCCGTTCAGTAGTTTGGAAGATACAGTTTAATGCAGATTCCGCAGAACATATACAGGCTATATGAAAAATAATTACTGTATAATGTGTCCCTTGTTCTATAGTTTAAAACTACTGCACGATGTCTTTGTGCACCAAATACCGGCGAGATGGCACCGTGTAGAAAAGTCCAAACAGTGTCTGTGAGTTAAAATGGCCGCCATCCATTGTTCTTACCATGTGCTTCATCCATTGTTCTCACCATGTGCCTCCCAGTAACTCCACAGTATGTCCCCAGATGGTTCTTAAAGGGCCAGCAGTAGCATAATAAAATCAAGCATGCCCACATCAGTTCCTAGAAGATCAATATTGTGGGAACATTTATGGGATAATAATAGTAACAGTGAGAATCGCCCACTAATTCAATTCTCAGATCCCAAATATCGTTATCGTGTTAAGTGAGAAGTATATCATATAAATAATATTACAATTTTA